CCAACATTTGAAAAATATAGGTCAAGTAAGTTTTGCATGCATATTGAAAAAAAATATATTCAAAAGATGTTTTAAAGTAAAAGAAAAAACATGTACACTATAGCTCTGTTAACAACTCAAAAATATATTGTGATATATTCTAAAAGGAAAATTATATAATACATGATGATATAAGTTAAATATATATACTATAATAAATACTAAAACCCTATAATGAATAATGTTCATAGCTATTGTTACAAATTTGGTATTTAAAAAGCTAATGTTAGTTCAATTATAAATTAAATGGTTTTATTTCCCGTACAGTGCAGCGCGTGACGAATATTAAAAGAAAGCTAAGCCGGAAAATTGAAAATACAAGAGCGCATGCATTAAACATTTAATAAATATCTCTTTTTGACTTCGAGAAAGTACTAGAAAATTCTAGCACGCGATTTTAAAATCTTATAAAAGGAGGAAAAACCTCTCAGTTTGTGGTAATTACTTAGTTTGTTGTTGTTTAGAAAACTGCTCTTGTTGATTGTAGCGAATTCGTGGTTTACCTTTCTTTAGCTGTTTTGAATTAAGTTCTATTGAACGTTTGAGTAGTCAAAAGATAACTACTGTGAGATATTGTAATAGTGCACGAATATTTTAGGAAATTTAAGCATATTTGTTGTGATAATAATAAATTTTTTGTTCATTTTTCATCGGACTTGTGCATTCATTTCGTAACGAACCCGTACGCACGCAACAATTTTTGGTGTCAGAAGTGGGATTTGAATGCCAATCACAAGAACGATGAAAGAGCAGTTAAGACAGCTGATATCAGCCTTTGCTGCATTTAAAGAGGAAATGAAAACTGGCCAGCAAGGAATGAAAGCGGGACAAGAAGAAATGAAAGTAGAGATGAAATCTAATCAGGAAGGAATGGAAGCGGAACAAGAAACCGTTAAGGAAGTGATGAAGGCCTTTCAAGCTGGTCAATTAACTTTTAAAGACGAAATAAAAGCCGTACAAGTAAAGATTAAAGAAAGTCAATACGAAATGAAAAGAGAAATTGCCTGCATAATAGAAACCAAATTCGATGCTATGGAAGGCAGAATAGATGTGGTTGAAAATAAAGTTGGACAAATTGAAGAAAGAGTTTCTTCTGTAAAAGAGCATATAGAAGAGCGAATTTCTGCGGTCGAGCAACAAATTGATGATAGGGTTTCTGCAGTTGCCAAAGAAGTGGATACTTTAAGGAAATTTGTAGCGACAGCAGGGAGCAGTTCGGATGGTTTTAAATGTTTACCCATGCCTGCTCGTCCCTCTCTGAAGCTGTCGACATATGATGGGAAGACCTCCTGGCAGGTGTATAAGACACAATTTTCTATCGTGGCGGATGCGAATGGATGGGATTCCCAAGCTAAGGCCTGTCATCTCGCCGCTTCTTTAAAAGCCGACGCAGGGGATATCCTTCAGACTCTTTCCGAAAACAAAAGGTTAGATTTCAAAGCTCTGTCCGGCGCCTTGGAGCTGCGCTTTGGGGAGAAGTGTTTAAAAGACTACAGCAGGCTCCAATTAAAATCTCGTCAACAGAAGCCTACCGAAACACTTCAGGAGCTCGCCACGGATGTTGAAAGGCTGTCCCATCTCGCCTTTTCGGAATGCCCGACAGAAACAAGGGAAATCCTGTCCTTGCAATAGTTTATCGAAGGCATCCGGGATACTGAAATACAGAAAGCTATACGAATGGCGGATGTGAAGGATATAAAAAGTGCTCTGTTGTACGCCATGAAATTCGAGGCAGCCCAGCAAGCAACTCATAGAGACCGCTACCCTGTCAGAGCTATGCGAATCCACGAGCCAGTGGATCAACTGATGGTTCGTTTAGATGATTTATCCAGACAAGGCGACGCTTTGATACGGAGTAGCAGTGAGAACAAAGTGGCTCGAAGGTGTTGGAGATGTGGTTCTGAAGGTCACCTACGACGACATTGCAGAACACCCCATGGCACGGATTATAAAACGGATGATTTGACAAGACCAGTGAATGTCTTAAGACGGAATACTGGTGAAAAGAAACCAACCCTAAAGTGCTGGAACTGCGGTGTTGAAGGCCACGCTCGAAAGAACTGCAGAACACCCAAAAGCACGGAAAATATGACAAACGAGTCGAAAAGACAATTAAATGTTATCGGACGAAAAAGGAGTGACAAGAAACCAAAGTGCTGGAACTGTGGAGCTGACGGCCACGTACGAAGGAACTGCAGAACACCCCGGAGCACGGAAATTAAGACCATTTCCCAGCAACGACAGAGGAAACAAATGAATGACCATATCGAGAAACGGAGATTGCCAGAGAATGAAAAACCTTGTTTTAAAGCGCTCAAGATTTCTACAGTGGGCGGCAACGGACTGTCCATCAAGGGGCATATCGATAGAGTTCCTTGCAATATGATCATTGACACAGGAGCTAATGTTACCATCATTCGGAGAGATTTAGCTCAACAGTTTAAAGATAAATTTATTTGGACGTCATCCTCTGTTACCCTTCAGACTGCGTCTGGTGATAAGATTGACATAGCTGGGAAGTTAAACGTGAACATCACGTTTGGAAATGCCGCCTACCATCACTCGGCTTATGTGGCGGATATTACAGATCCATGCATACTCGGATTGGACTTTTTAAGGAAATAAAAGTTTTTCTTAGACTTGAAAAACAACAAACTGCTTTCAGCATCTGATGACATCACTATCTATCCTCAACAGGGATCGTCGCCTGGAAATGTCGACGCCTTGTCCGAAAGACCCAGTTCGGGAAGCTGCCGAAATCATACTAGGGTCGAAAAGAAACGCAAGACTACCAGTTATTCTCCATCCCAGATGCTCTTCGGTCGAGACCTTCGTCAGCCTGGTGACCGCCTGTTTGGTCGCCCTACGGATGCGCCTCCATCGCCTGAGGAATACATCCAAGATGTCAAGGCCCGTTTTGAAGTGATGCACCGTTCCGCACGAAAGCGAGTGAACTTGGCGACGGAGAAAGTGAAGTCCAGATTCAACACGAGAGCTACTGAGCATAGATCCAACAAAGGAGACAAGGTGTGGTTGTGGAACCCGATTCGCCGAAAAGGAGTTAGTCCTAAATTACAGTCACCTTGGGATGGTCACCACACAGTCCTAAACAGGCTGAATGACGTCGTGGTTCAGATCCGTCGAAACTCTAAACCTAAAATCGTTCCTTGCGACAGGTTAGTTCATAACCATGGCCATAGTACGTAATGTAAATAATTGTAAATAGTGTAAGACCATGGTCCTTTTTGTTTCTAAATGTGTATTTAGTATTTGATTTGTATTTTGCATTTGATTTGTATTTTGTATTTGATTTGTATTTGATAGCATTTGATTTGTTTTATTTATTGCATTTATTGCTCATGTTGTTTATTATTGTAATGTAATGCTTATTATTGCATTTAATCCTTTAGTTGTAAGTTTGGCTTCCTGTCCAGGGATTGTACTGCCCGGGACGTGCAGTCCTTGGGAAGGGGGCAGCGTTACGAATTTGGTATTTAAAAAGCTAATGTTAGTTCAATTATAAATTAAATGGTTTTATTTCCCGCGCAGTGCAGCGCGTGACGAATATAAAAAGAAAGCTAAGCCGGAAAATTGAAAATACAAGAGCGCGTACATTAAACATTTAATAAATATCTCTTTTTGATTTCGACAAAGTACTAGAAAATTCTCGCACGCGATTTTAAAATCTTATAAAAGGAGGAAATCCTCTCAGTTTGTGGTAATTACTTAGTTTGTTGTTGTTTAGAAAACTGCTCTTGTTGATTGTAGCGAATTCGCGGATTAGCTTTCTTTAGCTGTTTTGAATTAAGTTCTATTGAACGTTTGAGTAGTTAAAAGATAACTACTGTGAGATATTGTAATAGTGCACGAATATTTTAGGAAATTTAAGCATATTTGTTGTGATAATAATAAATTTTTTGTTCATTTTCATCGGACTTGTGCATTCATTTCGTAACGAACCCGTACGCACACAATAGCTATATAATAAATTCCAACTCACATTATATCATTGTACATAACACTGCTATGAAAGGAAGAATATTTGATTAGAAATATACCTTTTACATTTAATTTGATAACATAGAAGAAAAGTCAGAAAATGAAAAGAAAGCAAGAACGTTATAATTTGAAAAACTGGAAAGAATTTTCGCAAGATATAAGTAATAAAATAGATATTGTTGCAATTTATTACGGGTTTGTAATAAATTAAATACACAAGTCCGATGAAAAGTGAATAAAATTTATTATTATCACAGCAAATAAAACAAAATGCTTAAATTTCCTCAAATATTCGTACAGGATTGCAATATTTCGCAGTAGTTATCTTTTAAACGACTCAAACGTTCAATAGAATTAGAAAAAAAAAAAAAAAAAAAAAAAAAAAAAAAAAAAAAAAAAAATAAAAAAAAAAAAAAAAAAAAAAAAAAAAAAAAAAAAAAAAAAAAAAAAAAAATTCAGAACAAAAAAAAAAAAAAAAAAAAAAAAAAAAAAAAAAAAAAAAAAGAAAGAAAGCTAATTCGATTTCACCGCGAATTCGCTACAGTAAACAACAACTCTTTTCTAAACAAACTCATAAAACAACTACTGAATTGAGATGTTTTCCTCCTTTTATAAGCTTTTTAAATCACGCACGAGCCCATTGTGGTATTTTCTCGATTTTTCAGAAAAGCAAAAGGGTACAATTACGAGATATCTACATACTTGTATTATTAAAATGTTAAATGCGCGTGCTCCTGTATTTTAATTTTTCCGGCATAGCTTTTCCTTCAAATAACTCGCGGGCAGCAGAATGAAACAATTTAATAACAATTCTATTAAAAATAGCAAAATAAATAAATCAATACAAAAACCGTAATAATATCTTTTTGATAACCAGTTTTATACTACATTATTATAAAAAAAATCAAAGAAAAATGTTATAATGCGCAGCATTTTACAAGACAGTTGAGGTAACGCGCACAAACGACAGCTTTGTACACAGTGGTAATGGACACTGGAAGTAAACATAAGATGCAAAACACGTTGTACTCCGTGATGCAAACAAACGTGCCGCGAGAGACGACTGAACTCGCTACATAAAGCATTTAAGAATTATAATAGAAGTTTTATGTGAATGTGGATAGTTTTGTGTTTAGGCTTTCTGAATTCAGTCGCTTTTTTGAAAACGTTGTGAAGCTTCAGAATGTATCAGCTTTTCTTTAAGTTAGTGTTTACTGTAGGAAGGAGGTTGTAAACGTTTCAAGATAAAAATTCTTTCATTTCTCCCAGTCTAAAGCGAACAAGTATTATGATCAGACTAATACAGACACTTATACCTAGTTTAAATGTTTTGTCGTGTTTTGTAGGAAAATTCTCAACCAACACTGCAAGATATTCATTCAAAAATGCAACAACAGTTAGGTTTCGCAGATTTTCGTATTTTGTTGCTGGCTGCTGCTTCTCGAAAAGTGGTGAATCTGCTGTATTATCTGATGCTACGTCGAAAAGTTACACCAATGCAGTGACTGCTCAGTATAATTCTTTTGGAGAACTTTATCCCTCCCACTGTGCTTCTAATAGCCTTCAGAATGTGAACTGTGAAACTGAAGAATTTCCCATGCATTACAAACAACGTATTGATAGTATTACTACGTCAAGTTTGGAAGATATATCTATTCATCGAAACACTTGTAAGCGCCTCAGGAATTCTGAACAAGATGTACATGACATTTCGCCACCTACTGCGAGTAAGCATCCTAAAATAAGCAATGATGCGACTACTGATATTACTGCTGGAAACTCGGACGGCCCTAAAGTCACAGAAAGTTCTGACATAATCATTCCCGTTTCACATAGAGGTAAAGTATATTGATAATATTTAATGAAATGTGTTTAAATGACAGCAAAATTTTATGCTTTATTTTTATCTACAGTGCTAACCTATGTTATTTTTTGTGTATGCTTTAAATCTCAATGCTGTGTACCAATCTGTGGAAATTTGTAAGTTTATGTTCCTCGTTAGTTAAATAAATATAATTATTTATGTTTAGTATATTTACGTCTGAATCAAGTTATCATCCAGCTGTAATATGTGAATTGACATATTTGTTATTGCCATCCCAAATTGTTGTAGAAATTTATTTACAGAACATTTTTATGAATTTATTTGCAGCAGAATGGAACTTAAATTCCATTCTGCTTTCTTTTTGTGTGAATCTTTTGCTGTATATCTGTATGAAATGTTTGATCATAGTACTCTTTCATATTTATTAGATTACCTTCTATCGAAAAAATTGCCAACCTCCGCTAGGTCACTCATGTTTGTGAAATCTTGGTTTTCTGTATGATAAATTATGTGCAGGAATAGTCCTTGTGCAGTTTGACTTGCAGTCACATAGGAAAATGTAAATACACGCAATTCAGCCTTTGATCAGTCTGGATTCACTTATCTGAATTTGAAAATTTTACGATAAACTAAATTTTAGCCGAGCAGCATAAAAATAAATTCTAAAGTCTTGTTACACAGAATTATTTTTTAATATATAATGATTGTTATCCCCACTTTATACAAGTTTATACATAGTTCACACAAGTATACACATAGCCCAAAAGGGGCTGTTAGTCTGGAAATGAGATTTTGCATTGGTTCACTATAAATTGCATTTTGTGGTAAAAGTATAGTTTAGGGTACCCCTTGGCGAAACTTGGCAATTTTTGGCGGTACATGGATACCGATTTTGTGCAATTCTTTGACTCGTTATTTTGGCTTGCGAAGCCAAAATAACAAGACAAACAATCGCACTAATTCGGTATCCATTTACACATCGACTTATTTTCACTTAAATAAAAATCCTCCAATTGCACAAAAATGGCATTGCGCACTCCTTTGACTTTATCCATGTATGCGTCGACCTATTTTCACTTTAAAAAAAAAATCCGGCGGTTGATCTTTAGATTATGGTAACTTGGAGATTTTTTGCCGAAAATTTGGCGACAAACTCTCCTGCAGCAACCCTCAATTTTTTTTTATACATGTTTCTTTTCTTTTTATCTACTGAACACTTCTTCCAACAATCGCCAAATTACACTTATGCTAGAAATTTTATCTAACAAAACTGCTTAATCATGACAAATATTCACTGCAAAATTGGGAAAAAGTGCACAATACCATACTCCTTGCGCGTTTTTCAAAATATCACATACACATAAACCATGTACACGTCGACTTATTTTTACTTAAAAAAACATCCCAGAATTACACAAAAATGGCCCACACTCTTCACTATATCCATGTACACTGCTTTTTTCTCATAAATTAGAAAAATTTCACAAAAATACATGACAATTTTCTGAATCTTTAAACCCGGTAAAAAGAACATATATGAAATTACCTGATCGTGAAAAAGTATATACCCTTTCCAAATATGAACATTTCCACATATAAAATAAATAAAATATCCAAAAAACTTTTACCTCTAAATCATCTATTATATTATAACGTCACCAACGATTCATACCGCAAGCATTACAAATACTTAGTGTCAAATATTTAAATTATTTCCATGCACGTTTACTTCAACTAAAACGTATACCAAATTCCTACAAACATAAAATTCACAAAATAACTATCATTTAATTAAAATATCACTAAACCATGTACACGTCGACTTATTTTTACTTAAAAAAAATCTCAGAATTGCTCAAAAATGGCATTGCGCACACTCTTCACCATATCTATGTACACTGCTTTTTTCTCATAAATTAGAAAAATTTCACAAAAATGCATGACAATTTTCTGAATCTTTAAACCCGTTAAAAAGAACATATATGAAATTACCTAATAATGAAAAAGTATATACCCTTTCCAAATATGAACATTTCCACGTATAAAATAAATAAAATACAGTGAATAAAATAAATAAAATATATGCTAATCTTTGGAATATGGTAACAGATAGTTTGGCGACATTTTGGTAAGGCGATAAAGGTTAATAACTAGGACTTTAGCAGTGTACATGGATAAAGTCAAGAGTGTGCACAATGACATTTTTGTGCAATTCTGGGATGTTCTTTTAAGTGAAAATAGGTCGACGTGTACATGGATGATACCATGTATGTGCAATTTTTAAAAACGCGGCAAGCAGTGGGCGATTCTGCACTTTCTCCCAATTTTGCACCTAATCTTCGTCGTGATTAAGCACTTTTGTTCCATAAAATTTCTAGCATAAACGTAATTCGGCTAGCAGATTGTTGGAAAAAAATGTTGAGTTAAAAAAAAAATGCCTTTACTTCGTGAAAACAAAATGGCATTCAAACAAAAACTAGCAGGTTACTGTAGCAGGGTTGGTCGCGAAATTTTTGCCGAAAAATTGCCAAGTTACCATAATCCAAAGATTAACAAAAATCTCAGAATTGCGCAAAAATGGGAACTGCGCACTCTTTTAACTTTATCCATGTACACGTCAACCTATTTTCACTTTAAAAAAAAATTCCCAGAATTGCACAAACTTGTATTGTGCACTCCCTTTACTTTGTCCATGTACACATCGACATATTCTCACTTAAAAAGTCAAAGGAGCACCAAATTCTACAATATAGGCAAACAAAAAATACATAATCTCAATAAAATACATTTTAAACCAAACTATAAAATAACATAATGAAAAACATGTTATACGTTTAAGCACTACCAAAAGCAAATATTCACTTACCATGATTTTAGAGTTCGCTTTGTACACCCAGAGCCACGTAAAAATCAAAATATCAATCGTACTCTAATGACTTTTTTCAAACCAGGTACTATTTTTGATCAAACGCTTCATATAGTGACCATCTGAACCTTTCTTAATACAAACCCATTCAAATTCATCTAAACGGTTTTACGTTCGACTAGACGTATATCCTTCCTACATACAGAACACTTATAATGGCTACTAAGTAAACCTTCATTTACACACCAGTCAATTAAAGCTCTTTTTCCCTTTCGCTCCAAATCGTACAGAAACTTCAAATTAATCTTACTACATTCAAAATCATAAAAACAACCTTGTATTAACGTAAGTATATTGAAACACATAATGAAGAATGTTCATGTATATATGTATGTGCCCATTACCACTGTATTTTAATAAGGAAAAACAATGGTACCTGGAGCAATCAAATTTTTAATACCATTCTCGTTTACCGAAACGTGTAATATGGACAAATTTTGAATTTCGAATATGTATCATTATTTATTTTGTATTTTGTAAAAGTTTACTGAATTTTTTATTAATAAACTCAACCATTTAAAAACAAGCAGTGGCAACACTGCTAAAATAAAATTTTTTTATCTCCAGCTTGCAAGATTGTTACCATTTGAAAAAAATGCAAGAACTTGAATCAACAAATTTGTCTCTATGAAAGCAGTATGTTTCCACGGCCAGAAATAAACTTTTTATCTTTTAAGTAACGGCACTGTTAGATACGACAGTAAATGTACACCATTTTGTCCATTCATCAACTTATTTCTACCTAAATAATCTCTCAAAAATTTAAACACAACCAAACAAGTTTATTCTACCAACTTAACAACGTTTTACAGCTGTTGCCACTCAAGCAAAACTAAAAAGAAATTAATAGTTACGCTGGCTGAATTATATGCAACAAATGCTGCACTTTAACATACTCCCACATTTTGATAAACAGGATTTTTATCAAAACAAATATTTAATATATCTAAAATATAACCTAAATTCCATTTGAAGCTCACTAAAAGTCTCATTTTGAAGTTCACTTAAAAGTCTATTTTGAAGTTTTAAAGTTCAATTAAAAGTCTACAATTCGCATAAACGTATATTTTAAAGTTCACTTAAAAGTCTATTTTAATGTTCAAAGTCCTTGAATCTAGAAGGATACTTTTATAGCTCGACCACTGAATAATCTAATATAATCTATAGCATTCATCCAAATATTCATCAAACGTTTTGCCATTTGGATGAACAAACCAGTTTAGGTTTTAGAAATTACTTTATCAAATAAGGATTTCTTTCTAACACCTTTATCCTTCCTGTGTGAGTTGACTCAGTCACTTTTGTTTCTTAACCTGTGATTTAGAATAAATTTTGGAATATCGTAATCTCAACATCTGATGATTCAGAAAGCACTTTCTTCAAATTGTTCTTTACCATACTCATCACTTTTACTTGGATCGAATCCAATGGTCTCAATCTTCATTATCGAGTTCCTCATCATATGGAAATTTTTGGACATTGTTCTTCTTGAATAGCATAATAATCATCATCAAAAGCTCTTTCGTTTCCTGGTCAAGTTTTTCAGGTTCGCAAAATCACTTTAGCCGACATATCACCTTTGTTAAGGTTCAATTCATTTTGACGACAGGCACTTAGGCGACAGGACATTTAACCGACACGAACACTTAGCCAACACAGACACTTAGCCGACACGAACACTTAACCCTTTGCGGCGCACTATATGTTAACATCGGAATTTCAACAAAAAACGTTGCATGCAGTCTCTTTAGTCCTAAAGGAGTATACAGGTAAAATTTTGTAAAAATTGCACTTACCATTTTAATTCTGTGGGTGTTTCATCAGGTGGAACACTGCGCCGCCAGAGCTTCTAAAGTGCGACTAAGCGAGCATAGCAGTGAAGCACGAAAATGAGTAGAAGCGTTTGTATAAGAATGAAAAAACTCTGTATTATGGCTGTATACATGGTTTTCTGGGTATACACAATATTCTTGAATATATACGGATAAATGAGATAAATATCTATATACAAAAATATTTACAAATTTTCCTATTTCTTAGCTTCGTGAAATTGTTCAAAACAAGTCACACCTTTTTGATGGAAGCAC